AATGCCCACGAATCGTGGGACCAAGCGTGGGCAAACAGAGCCAGCCTTTCCCCCCGTCAACGAGGCGACCTGCGAAAGGGCCGACACCCCTTCCGAGAAGCTGACTTATGCACAGAGTAAGCATTGCGCTGACCAGACGAAGACAGCTCCGGAGGAGACACCGGCACAGAAGCTGGCAACAAAAGCCCACCTCAACCTGCAGAGACCTGAACCCTGGCATGACCTTTCTGGGCAGCATAAGAACACCCACCCCAGATCACCAAAAAATCAGAAAGAGGGTGGCAACTAGCAGAATCCGCCTGCAAAACTGAGTAACAACCAAGTCCACAAATAACAACGGACAAAAGGGAGATGAAAACCTAAGAGCCAGGGGCCAGGCCGAATCAAGCGAGAGAGCGAGGACACCCGGCCGACACGCGAGGTCGGTGAGAGGCAAAAGGTGAGGCACCGTCTTTCGGAGGCTTGGTGCATACAGTTTCAGCAACAGTGCCGATGCCCTAGCAGCCGAGGCCAACGGCCCAGACGATAGCCAGGCACTCAACTCCTCCACAAGCCAGTCTGAGAACAGTCTCGACAAACGAAAAGAAGCGCAGGACCAGGGTTAGATGCCCGTGAGCGTGAAGATCCTCTGCAACCAAAGCAGCCAAAAGCGAAGGAACCTTGGTGTGTAACTGGAGCAAGCTAACCTCACGAGGAAGCACAGAGGCATAAAGGCACGCATTGAGGTGCTCAAAAGCACCCCCCACCCTCACCCAGGTAAACCTGCAAGACCGTGGTAGGCTTTCGTCAATCAAACGTACAGGTATGACAGAACCTGTGCCATGCCCCAAGCGAAAAGAAAGAGCATTCTGCAAGCCAGGAAGATGACGGAACTTCATAACGCACCCAATACTGGGAAGGAGAATAGAGCTCAAAAGAGACTGGGTCCATCACAGAGGCAAAGTATGGGTCTCGCAGGAGGTACGAACCAAGGGTCTCATGAACCTCCGCAGGGGAAATCCGAGAGGTGAAAAACTTCTGGAAAGACGAAGCCGCAGAACCCAAAGGAACCTGGAAACAAACCCGGGGAGAAGCCGAACCCCATATTAAACTCGTACAGGGAATGGGGTTACAAAAACTCCGAACCCTGCAACAGCAAACCCTGCCCCAAAGGCACCAAGACCCAGGCAGGATCAAACAGGGCCTAAGCGCTAGAGGCCGACTCCTCCCTAGTCCTGGAAGCCTCAAAACCAGGCTCTGGGACAGAGCCGACGTCCATGCCCTTCACCTTTGAAGGAAAGGCATCAAATAAAGGGGTCTGCTGATAAGACCCATAAGCCTCAGTGGGAGGATCAGGCTCAAAGATCTCCATCCCCGCGTCGAATGGGACAGCCCCCGGCACCGCCCGAGTCTCATCCCCAACTAAACCCTGCCCCGACTCCGAAACCCTCAGATATTTCGGAGCCAACAGCAGGGGAAGGGGGGGGGGGAAGGGAAGAAGCAGGGTGAACCATACCAATAGGGGAAGGACTCAGGGGAGCCGACTGAACCAAGGCTGAAGCAACCAACGCCCCCAAGTCCAGGTCCCTAAAACCATAACAGGGCATCCCACCGGCATTCGAGCAGGCAACCAACCTAGTGCATTGCAACAACCTAAACCTAGCATGCAACATGAAAGCCGCTTGACCCCCCCAACATCTGAAGAAGAATGGTATTGAATAACGAGCGGGGAACAAGTCTCGCATTATTCCGGGTCAAAGGTGTCATCGACCCAACAAGCAGCATGATGGAGGCAAAACGGATGATCATCACCCTGAGACAAGAGCAATGAACAATCCTCAAACTCTCACAAGGCGAGATGGGACTCTGAAGACATATCCATGGTCACCCGAGCCCCAATGGGGGTTTCAAGGACCTGCAGGGTAAGGAGTCCCTATGGGAACCACAGACACTGGTGCTGCAAAGCCAGTAGAACTCATTCTATATACTGAGCAAACTGGCCCCAGTGAAGGGAGCAACCTCGGGGCCCGAGTGGAGGACAACCAAATGGAACCTAGGCATACCTCATGGGAAGTCAGGCAGCCATCCACCAGGCAGGAAAGACCGCTGCTTGCATGCAAGCTGCGCACAACCAACCAGCACTTCAACCAGCAACAAACACTTCCTACTCAGGGACACGAAAGCACCAAGACCACCGCTGACCCCAAGGACATGGCCGATGTCAAGTGACAGCACCCTCTACGAGAGTAAGAACCCAAAAACCCCTGGGAAGACAACCTTGAGGCCCAAGGGATGTACTTACAGGGCGCCTAGGGAAGATAGCCCTAAGTGCTGGTACTCCTGGCCAATGCCCCGAACACACGGCTGGTACAATTAATAGTGGCAAAATCTTGAGAGTAAATGGTAGCCAGAGTAGACGTCAGCCTCAACCCACTTCAGTCAACAAACTGGTGGCCTAGTGGCCTGCTGGAGAGGGGAGGAAGGGAGGGGGGTTTGATAATTATTTGACGGTTACCTTGTTTTTCTTAAAAAGTTCTTAAGCTCTGTTTGGTCTTGGGTTGCAATTTTCCACCAGTTGGGATCTATTTTGGGGCGCTTACCTTTCTAGTGCCTATTCCTGGTCGATGGCAAACATGAATATACTCTCAAAGAGTGGAGTTTTCATAGGCCATTGCTTCCTGCACCTTTCTGAGGAAACCAGGTTCTGGCTTGTGGTTCCCAACAGGCATATAACTACTATGACTGAAGCCCTAGACTAATATAGATAATATCAGTCCGATAGCTCCAGGGAGGTGACAGGGCTCCCTTCAGAGATATAATTTTAAAGAAAAACTTGAGCTTACCATGTTGTAGTTAATCTTCTTGCGTGATGCTGTATATCTTGAAATGTATAGTTCTTGAAAATTTATGTAACCTTATCTCCGGTTATCCGAATTTTTATTTGGATATGGTGAAGTTTTGCAAGAAAATTATCCAAATTTGACTTAGACTCTGTGCCAGTCTGTGTTATCTGGCCAAATCTCCAGTTATCCAAATTTCTGTTCTGATACGGCAAAGTTTGGCAAAAAATTATCTGAACCTGATTTTGGTTTGAAAACCCAAATATTAGATTCAGTGGGCTTCGAATAACCAAATTCATACAATATAAATAAATATATATATACATATATATGAAGACAAGCATTAACATTGGTATATTACAACATTTTTAACCCTTAAACTGCGCAACATGTCACATGACGTGTTAAGTAACTTACCGAAAAAGTGCGCATCACGTCATATGACGTGTTGGAGTACTAAAGATTTAAACGGCATGCGGATACATGAGGTTCACCACACCTTCATCAGGGCTCTTGTAAACAGACGCCATTTAAAAAAAAAATCGTGGGCCAAACTCCCGGGTGTTAGGGGCCTCAGTATTGAGTGAGCTACCAAGCCTGGCACACGCAGCACGAGCTCACAGCACTGCTGTTCAGCTTGTGACCACAGCATCGCCTAAAAATGCCATAATATACTTGTTCATGCTATTATGTAGTGATGATGATATTACAGAAGACCCCTGACTGTGATAAAAACTGACCAGGGTTCTGATAATAGCAGGATTGTGGTGATATTTAGCGCTGTGCGCCATGGAGGGAGGAGTAATGCTGTGGGAGGGAGGGTGGTGGCGATGTCTTCTGACTGTGTGTGGCCACCTTTTATTGACTGCACTCACCATACCAGCTTAGTGGTTCGCTATGGTGAACACAAATGTAGATACTTATACTGTATATAACGTGTGTATAGAAGGTATAAACAGCAAGAGGAGTAGGTTAGGAGCCACCATTTTGGTGAGGGCGGTGGCGTCGTGCAGACGACGGTGTTGTTTACTGGTTACCACGATGGTGTTTGGGCACCATACCAGTTTACTTGTACAAGTATGGTGAGTAAAACAGGTAGATATTTATATATAATGTGTGTATATAGCATAATAACACCACAAACAGTACTGTTGGAGGAGAAATATTAGTGCGTCTGGTCTTGAGGGCAGCAGCCAGCTGACTGTGTGAGGTTCTCACACACACTGTGTGAGTAGCTACATCTTTGTGCCTTTACTCACCATACAAGCTTAGATGTACAGTTATGGTGAACAAGACATGTAAATACTTATATATAACGTCTGTATATAAAAGCAAAAACAGTATGGTGGGTGGAGAATGGTGGCAAGTCAGGTGAGGTGAGGGAGGGAGGGAGGGAGGGAGGGAGGGAGGGAGGGAGGGAGGGAGGGAGGGAGGGAGGGAGTGGCAGCCAGTGGCAGGCTGCCACTGCCACTCAGCATACCAACTTAGTGGTTCGTTATGGTGAACACGAATGTTGATACTTATATATAGCGTCTGTATATAGTGAATAAAAGCAAAAACAGTATTGTGGGAGGAGAATGTGGGTGAGTCAGGTGACTTGAGGGAGAGCGTGAGTGGCTGGCTGGTACACGGCGGTCACTCCTCGTTACTTTTTGGCTCATAAAAGCAACTTAGTGGTTCGTTATGGTGAACAAAACATGTAGATACTTATATGTAACCTGTGTATATAGTGTAATAACCGACAAAGTATTTGTTCACTGATTGATGAACATAATTGAATCAATAATATGCACACCATATTTTTGAGTACTGCGATGATTCACTCATTTTATTATATAAATATATCAAACTACACACTATTGAATAATATTACAGCAAAAAAACTACAAAAAATCAATCGGAGACATTGAAATAATTAGGTAATTATCTCTTTGTGGCAACTCCGGCCAGACCGCCTGGGACGCACGCTGAGTCAGCGCCTGTTTTTTGCTAGACGTCCCTGCCCTATAGCGGGCAAATTATGCCATTTATGATTTTTTTATTATTTTCCCCATGATCAGTGAACACAAATTAACAGATTAGCAAGAATTTTTTTTTTTTTTTTTTTTTTTTTTCAAAATTATATGCACCTGTGGAGAACAAAGGATATTATACCACTAGCATGTTAAGGGTTAAACTCACATAAGGTGGAGGAGGATATGGTAGAGGACTAGGTTCACGTACAATAGGTGGGTAGTTCTGGTGAGGTGGGCCAGGCATGGACAGCACAGGTCCATAGTCCCCCGCATAGCCTTGACCCCAACCTCCAACAGCTACTATTTGGTGATATCCTTCACTACCTGTAAAAATAGCAACATATTGCCATCAAAATTTTGACAAGACTAGACTTCAATAGCACAATCGAGTAAGGAACATATCCCTGCACCAAATACTTAAAAAAAAAAAAGTGTTGAATGTAATGAAACGCCATTTTCTGGGTGAGTCCCGGAGGCTCCCTGGCTATCCCAGGCCGATATGCCAGTGTCAGACTTTAGCATCAGTCTCGTGTATGGAGTTCTTAGGCCTACCGGGGACCACGGCCAGAACTGGGCCCCTCTCAGAGAGGCAAGGGGAGCAATGGCCTATAGAAACCCTTGTGGTTGGAACCATTCTATGTCTGCCATCAACCAGATCAGGCATCCAGAAAGGTAAGCACCCCAAAATAAACCCCTATTTTGGTTAAAATTGCTACCAAAAGCCAAACTAGTGGATAGAACTCCCCAACAGAAAACAAGCAAACTAGTGTGACGTCTCATGTCGCCACGCCGCTGTGTGCGCAGCTCCCCCCTTCCCGGGAGGGGGAAGGGGGAGTTCCAGACCCTTCACGCCGGCTACCCACACCTAAGTTCTAAGGCTGGATGACAAAAACACAAAAAAAAATGCCGACCAGAGGGAGGGAGGGATGCCAGGGAGCCTCCGGGACTCACCCAGAAAATGCTGTTTCATTACATTCAACGCTGGTTTTCAGGGGGGAGCCCCGTTGGCTCCCCAGAGCTAACTACTCACAGACAGAAAAAGAGGGACTTACCTGGGAGGCGGTCGTCGCTCACTCCTCAACTCAAAGTCGAGACAACTGGTTGCAACCGCCGACCCAAAGCAACACAGGCCCGACGGGGCCCAGGGACGAGGTAATGAGCAGCCAGGACCCTGTTCGATCGCAAAAAACCCCGTGCCCGAATATCAGACCAAGACATATTCCCAAATACGGCAGCAAGAACCGAGAACATACGGGCATCATGGGCACGAGGATAGACCGCAGGCTGACTGGATTTGATAACCCTGCGGACGACCTGGGAACAGGGAAGGAGGGAAACCGGATCAACGCAAAGCACGTCTCAGGACACAGAAGACGTGGCACGCAAATAACGGCAAAGCGCCACAACCGGACACAAAGCATGATACACCCACGGCCATACCAACCAAGCATCAACCACCCACGGACCCCTCCAGAACGCAGTCTCATTCATTGCCAGAAAAGCAGGAGACGGCTGCAAGCGAACAAAATAATCTCCACAACCAAAAGAGCAGAAAAACACCTGCGCCGGAGGAAATCATGAAGCTCCCCGACCCGACCCCCAGAGGCTAATGCCAACAAGAAAAGAGCCTTGGAGAAACAATCCCGGACCGAAGGGGCCACAACGAAACGAGGAGACGAAAGGTAAGCGAGCATTCTGTCCAAAGACCAGGACGGCTCAGGCAGCATATGAGCAGGCCGGAGGTGAAACAAAGCACAAGACAGCTTGTGAAACAGCGCAGACGTAACATCAATACCGAAGGCAAGCTGAAGCAGCTCCGCCAGCGCCACACGATATGAGGCGACAGCATTAGGCATAAGATGACGGTTCTGAAACAACCAAGAGAGAAAGGACAAGATCACTCTAACAGACATCGAACTAACACGATGAAGACACAAAAAGAAACAGAAGGACCGCCAGGAAACTTAATACTGCCGCCGAGAAGAAGCCCTCAGGTGGGACACCAACAAGGAGGCCACCTGATTACCATAGAGATGATGATAGACTCGAGTAAAAAACCATACGCGAAGACTTGAGAAGATCGAAAGAGTTACGTGACGCACTGGCCTGATCTGCTGAAAGAGGCGGAGCCACGGGAAAACCCTAGGGTTCGGACACCGAGCAAGCAGCGCCTGAAACTAAGGCTAGGCTGGCCACCAAGGGGCCAGAAGGACAACTCTCCCCTGGTAAGTCTCCAAGCGAGTCAGGACCTGGAGCAACAGCCGAACCGGGAGAAAGAGGTACAAGAAACCCCTCCTCGATCAGTCCAGCCGAAAGGCATTGACCCCGACGGCCTCGCAATCGGGGAGGGGCGCCGCATACACGGGAAGGCGCCTCGACCACACTGACGCGAAGAGGTCCACCTTGGGCGCCAGAACGTCTGGCAAAGCCAACGGAAGGAAGCATCGTCGACCATCCACTCCGTGGAGAGGGGAACAAAGCAAGACAGGCCGTTAGCCAAGACATTGGACACTCCCTGCACGTGAACCGCCAGGAGAGCCAAAACCCCGAGAACTCAGCAGACGAGTCACCCGAAGTGACCAACGCCAAAGAGACAAGGACTGCATCGAACCCCCGCAGTTCAGGCAATGAACTGCCGGAGAGCAATCCAAATGGAGTCGAATTGCCGATCCGCGGGCGGCCCGAATCCTCAGAAAAGCAAACCACAACACCGCGAACTCCCGCACCGTGCTGTGAGTTCAACGGAAGAACAGACCCCAACGCCCCTGGCCGGCCTGGTGAGCTCTGGTCACAAAGCCCCAGCTGAGAGACGTCACATCCGTGTACACATCAAGCGAGGGCTCGGGTAGGCGCCAAGGCACTGAATCCCGAAAAACCCGAAGAGGAAGCCGGCAACTCAGCAGCCGATGCAAGGTCCCCGGGAGTCGAACCCAGCGATCGTGAGAGAACCGGAACGGGCGACCCCAGAAGGAACCACAAAAGTCGATGAATGCCAAACCCCACCTGGCGGGTAGATTACCATCGCGAAGTTCAGGCTTCCGGTCAGCCCCTCGAGCAACCGCCGGGTGACCCGAGGGCCCACCAGAAACAGACGAAGGCGGGACCGCAGCAGAAACTCCAGAGGGAGAGACAAGGAAGCGGTCCGAGAGTCCCAAACGAGACCCAGCCAAGTCCGAACCTGAGAGGGGACCAGATGGGACTTTCCTCCAGCTCACCAAGAACCCGAACCCGGCGAGCTGGGAAAGAACCAAATCCCTGGCTAGCACGGCTTGGAGCCCAAACCAACCAGTCGTCGAGGTAGGCCATCACCCGAACACCTAAGAGACGCAAACGGGCCACCACGACCCGAGTAAGGCGTGTGAACACGCGAAGGGCCAGGTTCAACCTGAACGGGAGACAACAAAAGCGGTAACTTAGATGCCCCACAACAAAACCGAGCCAAGTCCTGGAACCTCGGATGAATCGGGACATGCCAATAAGCGTCCCGGAGGTCCAGTGACACCATCCAAGTGCCCGGTTCCAAGAGGAGCCGAACCTGAGACAGTGTAGTCATCCGAAAGGAGGAGCAATGAACCCAGGGGTTCAGATGAGACAAGTCCAGAATGAACTTCAGGTCCGCACAGTCCTGTTTCAGGACCAGAAACAGACGGGAAACCCATCTGAGGGACGACGTCGTTTCGACAACGCCCAAGCGAACCCACTCCCAGACAACATGACAGAGCGCAGGGGAAGAAACATGCTCTGCCAGCCCCTCCCCCTCCCCCTCCTAAAGGGGGGCACCCAACGCCACCACAGGCCGAAAGACACGACCCGAAACACCCATGAATCGTGGGACCAGGTGTGGGCGAACAGTGCAAGTCTTCCCCCCCCCCCCCCCATCGCCTCTGCTTGGAATCTGCTTGGGCCAGAGCCCAAGCAGATTCCGCGGAGGAACTCAGCACTGCCTGATGACATGCGAGATGGGAGGCATAAAACAGGGAAGCTGCATTTCGCACAATCGACGCGAAAAGCTTCAACAAGGCAGCCGACTAATGCACTGCTCAGGACAGGGCGCCGGACCCCGGGACGGACCCAAGCATCCTCACATCCTCCACTAGCCAATCTGAGGACAGCTCCTGGAGGGAAAAGAACCAAAGGGCCGAAGTCAAAAGGCCCCGGGCGCGCAAGTTTTCCGCCACAAGTGCTGCCAAAAGGGAGGGAACTTGCACATGGAGCTGAACAACGCCCACATCGCAGGAAAGGGCAGGGGCAAACAAACACTCTTTCAGGTACTCAAGATCGCCCCTCAAGAAACCCTAAATCACCGTGGAAGCTTCCCCCCCCCCCTCCCCCACTCCAGCGTGCGGGAACAACAGAAGGAATGCCAGGAATCCAAAACAAACAAGGGGCAGTCCGCTAGCCAGGAAGACTCCGGAACCTCGTAACGGAGCCTGAAAGGGAACGAAGTCCCAAACCTGAATTCGGATGGATCCATTTCCGAGGCATAATCCGGGTCACGCAGGAGGTACGCTGCAAGGGCCGCCCACACCACACCAGGTTGGATGCGAAAAGGCAAAAACCACCGGAAAGACGGAACCAACGAACCCTGGGGAACATGGAACCGAACCCGGGGAGGGGCCGACACCAAATCCAACTCCTACACAGAGGGGGGGGAAAAGAAAAGAAAACCCCACACCTTGTAACAACAAGCCCCGCTCAGAGGGGAAGAAAAACCCCGGCTTTTCCAGCGGGGCCCAAGGCCCCAAGTCAGCCCCTCCCCAGCATCGAGTTCCTTCACAGCAGGACCCTGGGCCGAGTCATCTCCCCAAGCACCGACCCCACAAGACAAGGATGGAGCAGCCGTAGAAGCCAGAAGAAAGGGGGGCCCACTGGTCAGACCCAGAAGCTTCGGCCGGGAGACAAGACTCAAATGCCTCGCCCCTTCCCCCCAGAAGGGGCATCCCCAGAAGCTGCCCGAGTCTCGAGATCAAGTAACCCCCTGCTCCGACTCCGAAACCCTCAGATGTTTCGGCGCCGGAAGCTGGGGGGGGGGGGGGAACCAGAACGAACAACAGGAGGGGAAGGACGAGGAGGTGCAGACTGAACAAGGATTGAAGCGACCCCCTCCCCCAAGTCCGGGTCTTGAAAAGCAAAGCGGGGCAGTCCCAGGGCATCCGGGTGAGCAACCAATTGAGCGCATTGCAACAGACGAAACCTAGCTTGCAACGTACGCGCCACCTGTACTCGAATAGAATCATCAGAGGATTGGGTAAATTGAGTCACAAGCAAGTAGCAACACTCACACACTCACAGGACTCAGGGTCAAAAGTATCACCAATACAACA